AAGAGGAAAAAAAAGAATCTCACACTGATTTATTAAATACTATTACGATTTATTTGTTATACTTATGTTGAACTTAAATCAATTGGTTTTTCATCTTATTTTATAAATCATTAATATAGACGTTCATATATAAATTCAAATATTATTCTATTATATTACTTACATTTCTTATCATTGAAGCTTCGTTCACTAAAAAAAATTATAAAATAAATAATTGAAATGCTCCACACATCTCTTCAGGATCCCTCCATTGTTGACTTTGACCAAGAAAAAAAATTAAAAACAAAATTAAGAATTGCTCCACACAGTGCGGAGCATTGCTCCCCACTGTGCGGAGCTATATTTTTTTTATTTTTCCTTCTACACATAAAATTAATACATATGCTCCTATTATTAAACATACCGTTATACGTTTTTTTTGTCATAACTATATAAAATTAAAGATAATAAATGTGTTTTCGAGTTGCCTTCATTTATTTTCAGTTTTAAATTTTTTTTTCCTCATTTCGTGTTTCAATTCCTTCGCACGTAAAAACATAAAATTAACACGTACGTCCCTATTATTAAACATGCCGTTTCATTTTTTTTTTGTCATACATATAAAACTAAATATAATAAATGCGTTTTCAAGTTGCGTTCATTTGTTTTTAGTTCGAAACTTATAAACCATAAAAATAACAACAGCTCTAATTTGTATTGGCATAACCCAATTTTGGATTTGTAACTTAAAAATATTTTTACGAAGAGGAAAAAAAAAAGAATCTCACACTGATTTATTAAATACTATTACGATTTATTTGTTATACTTATGTTGAACTTAAATCAACAGGCTTTTCATCTTATTTTACAAATCATTAATATAGACGTTCATATATAAATTCAAATATTACTCTATTATATTACTTACATTTCTTATCATTGAAGCTTTGTTCACTAAAAAAAATAATAGTTATAAAATAAATAATTGAAATACTCCACACATCTCTTCAGGATCCCTCCATTGTTGACTTTGACCAAGAAAAAAGAATTAAAAACAAAATTACGAATTGCTCCACACAGTGCGGAGCATTGCTCCACACTCTGTGCGGAGCTATATTTTTTATTATTTTTTTATTTTTCCTTCTGCACATAAAATTAATACATATGTTCCTATTATTAAACATACTGTTACACAATTTTTTTGTCATAACTATAGAAAATTAAACATAATAAATGCGTTTTCGAGTTATCTTCATTTATTTTCAGTTTTAAATTTTTTTTTCCTCATTTCGTATTTCAATTCCTTCCCACGTAAAAACATAAAATTAACACGTACGTCCCTATTATTAAACATACCGTTACATTTTTTTTGTCATACCTATATAAAATTAAACATAATAAATGCGTAGTCGAGTTGCCTTCATTTATTTTCAGTTGTAAATGTTTTTTTTTTTTCCTCTTTTCGTGTCTCAATTCCTTCAAACGTAATAACATAAAATTACCACATACGTCCCTATTATTAAACATGACGTTACATTTTTTTTTTGTCATACCTATAT